TTTCTGTGTTGAGCTGTGGGTTTGATTTTGCGTGCTCTTTTTCTTCGAGCCCTCAAAAATCTGCCACAAGATCCAATGTTAAGAAAAATGTTGTTAATTTATGTTAATTAGTCAAATGCTACCAATCAAGAAAACTTTATTGTCATTTTTCGAAGAAGAAAGAAATTAGAGGGATGAAGATGGTGATGAGATCTCTAATGGTGGTTGTGGAGGTGAAGGGAAGTTGAGAAATATATTTATTTTATTTTTTAAAATAGAAAATTTATTATTTAACATTTTGGTTGATAATATCTGATGTGGCATTATGACATGGCATTATTATATTTGATGTGGATATGACATGGCATTTTGTAAGGGAGAGTGAGTTACACACATGATTGGAGAGGTTTGAAAGTCTTATTTTATTTGAATTTAAGAGTTCAGTTGGCAAATGATTAAGTAAGAGGATCCAGAATATAAACTCGTACAAGTATAAGGGTCAATCAGACCATTTCGCCATCTAAAACTGAAAGCTTATGATTTCCTCACGACATTCAGTGACTGGGAAAACAAAGTACAACAACTCGACACCTCTAGCACGCCAGAGGAGATCAGAATGGGAATTTCAAACATGCAAACGGAGGCAGTAGTCGACCTAACTCTAGAGGTCGAAAATAAATTATCCACAGAAGAGAGAGTTGATGATACAAGGGCTTGTGAATCGCAAGAAGCTGAAAGGGACTTACAAATCCAATTGATAATCGACGTAGAGCCTGTGAATATTCAATCACCCAACACCCAAGAAGTAGTGGAAACAGAAGCTTCAAATTGGGTTAACTCCCATATCTTAGAGCTGAGCAACACTTACGGGTAGCTTTTGTAGGTTTCGAGAAAGAAACACTAGCTCTTCTTATGAGAATTGATGAAAGGAAAGCTGCTTTAGATAAAAAAGGCCAAGAGAAGACAACTACAACCCCAAAAAGTAGAGGAATTGGCAAGAATGAGTTAAGAAATCTGAAATCGAACTTGAATGAAGTGGTAGAAGGGGTCAGGAACAGGGGGAGAAATTTATCTTTGACTTATAAATGAAAGTCAAATTAATCACTTGGAATGTGAGGGGGATCAATAGACACAATAGCAAAGTACTGATCAAAAGTTTATTTCAGAAGTGGAAGGCAGACATATATTGCTTGCAAGAAACAAAAGTACATACGGGAGTAGAAGACTTAGCCAAACAGCTTTGGTCATGCAGATGGATGAAATGTGGGTATATGGAGGCAGAAGGTAGCAAAGGGGGAATCTTAATCATGTGGGACAGTAGAAACTGGAGGGGGACTCAAGTCGAGATGGGCCAACATTCCATAACCTATGAATTTGTCTCAACTCAAAACTCTTTCACCTGGTACTTAACAGGGGTGTATGCTCCATATTCCAGAGAAGAGAAATTGGCTTGCTGGGAAGAGATATCTGCAGTTAAAGAATTATGTGGGGGACCTTGGGTGGCATGTGGTGATTTCAACACAATCAGAAGTATGGGGGAAAGGAGAGGGTGCAATAGAATCACTAATGTAATGACTCATTTTACGATTTGGATCGAAGAAATGGAACTGCATGATCCTCACATGAGTGGAGGAAAATTCACATGGTTCAGAGGAGTTAACCATCCTAGTGCGGCTAGACTCGATAGATTCTTGTTCTCTATGGAGTGGGAGGAGAGCTTTAAGAACATTAGACAAAAGCTGATGCCTAGAGCAGTGTCTGATCACAGCCCTGTCACTCTAGAATGTGGAGACTGGGAACATAAAAGATCAAACTTTAAGTTTGAAAATTGGTGGTTAAAAGTGGAGGGGTTCAAGGAATTGGTACATTCATGGTGGAATGAATTCACTGTGGAAGAATGTCCAGATTACAAGCTAAATGTTAAACTTAGAATGCTCAAACATAAGCTGAAAGATTGGAGCAAAACCAAGTTCAGGGAAATGACCAACAAAAAGAACAGTTTACTAGAAGAATTGGCAGGAATTGATCTGACAATGGAAAGCAGGGACTTGTCTGAGGAAGAAATGATGGTAAGAGCAACCATTGTAGTTGAATTGGAAAATATGGCTAAAAATGAGGAAGCAAAATGGAGACAGAAATCCAGAGTGTTGTGGTTGAAGCAGGGTGACAACAACACAAAGTTTTTCGAAAGAATGGCAACTGCTCACAGAAGATTTAACACTATTGACAGATTAGTGGTTAGAGGAGAAGAAATTGTAAAGCCGGATGAAATCAAGACTGCTATGGTTGAGTTTTATAAAACACTTTACTCAGAATCAGAAAGTTGGAGGCCAGGTTTCGACATGATAGATTGCCCAACCATTTCACAAGAGGAACAAGATTGGCTTCAAAGACCTTTTTCTGAAGAAGAGGTGCTGAATGTAATCAAGCAATGTGATGGAGTCAAAGCCCCGGGCCCAGATGGTTTGACAATGAGTTTCTTCGAAGTTTGTTGGGACACTGTGAAGTAGATCGGATCTACTGGGAACTGTTCATAACTTCCATCAGAAAGAGTTATTTGAAAAGTCCTTCAATGCCACCTTCATAGCCTTAATACCAAAGAAAGCTGGAGCTGAGGAGCTTAAGGATTTCAGACCTATCAGTCTAATAGGAAGTGTCTACAAGATACTTTCCAATCTTATTACTGAAAGGTTGAAGTCTGTTATGGGGAAATTAGTAAATGAACATCAAATGGCATTTCTAAAAGGCAGGAAGATTATGGATGCGGCTCTGTTAGCAAATGAATTAGTGGATTCCAGAGAGACAAAAATTTCCAGGGATCTTATGCAAACTTGACCTAGAGAAGGCATATGACCATGTTAATTGGAAGTTTCTACTGAAGGTGCTAGAAGACGTGGGTTTTGGTAAAAAATGGATCAACTGGATACGTTTCTGCATCTCTACTGTAAGGTTCTCTCTGATTATAAATGGCAATAATGAAGGCTTCTTTTCGTCTGAGAGGGGGTTGAGGCAGGGTGATCCTATATCACCTTTTTTGTTTATCTTAGCTATGGGAGGGCTCAACCACATGATCAGGAGGGAAGGGCAAATGGTTGGTTAAAGGGTTTCCAAGCTCAAGTGCAAGGATGTAGAGAAGATGAAAGGGGAGTCACACATCTGCTTTATGCAGATGACTCACTAATATTTTGTGAAGCTGAAGTATCTCAGATTAGACATATTAGGGCTATCCTTACTATTTTTGAAGGCATTTCTGGACTGCATGTTAATTGGCAAAAGAGTTGTCTTTACCCAGTGAACAAAGTTGATAATATGGAGATATTAGCAAGTAATCTTGGATGCTAGGTAGCTGCCTTACCCACAAAGCACCTAGGGATGCCCCTGGGTGCAAAGAACAAAGAGATAGAGGTTTGGAGAGAAGTGCTAGAGAGATGTGACAGGAGATTGGCAAGATGGAAGAATCAGTATTTGTCCTTAGGTGGGAGATTAACACTAGTCAAATCTGTGTTGGATTCCCTTCCTTCCTATATGATGAGCCTATTTCCTATACTCTTTGTCACAAGAAGCAGGGGGGATTAGGTATCAAGAAACTCAACCTCCAAAACTCTTGTCTTTTGCAAAAATGGTTATGGAGGTTCTGTGCTGAAGATATGCCTGTATGGAAAAAAATCATCATTGAGAAATATGAACTTCAAAGTCACTGGATCACTAAAGACGTCCTTAGAACTTTTGGTTGTAGTGTCTGGAAGACTATTCGGAGACTTTGGCCCCAGTTTCAAAAAAATATTCAATTCAAGGTCGGTAATGGCGTGAAGATTGAGTTCTGGAATGATCTTTGGATAGGTGAAAGGAGCTTGAAATCTCTCTTTCCTGATCTGTTCCTCCTCAGTCAACAGAATAGGGCCACTATAGCTCAGATATGGAGCATACAAGGTTGGAATTTCAACTTCAGAAGGGCACTAAATGATTAGGAGGTTCAAAGAGCTGCAAATTTTCTTATGGTGATAAATGATTTCAATGGAACTACCAATGCACCTGACAGACCAGTGTGGAAACTTCACAGCAAGGGTGCGTTCACTGTGAAGTCATGCTATTGGAGGAGAAATACTGGCCAACTGCAGATTAGGAACTGGCCTTGGAAACTAATCTGGAAAGCCAAAGTCCCCTTAAAAGTTTCTTGTTTCGTGTGGTTAGTTTGCAGGAAAGCTTGTTTGACTTATGAAGTACTACAAAGAAGAGGTAGACAGATTTGCTCAAGATGTTTTATTTGTGACCAGGATGCTGAAATAAATAGCCATCTATTTCTACACTGTAAAACAACTGCAAATCTGTGGAACGTGCTCTTGTGTATACTTGGAGTGAGTTGGGTGGCTCCCAAAACTACTAAAAGTATGATGGACTGCTGGAAAGAGATTGGAAGAAGAGAGTCAGAAGAGGACTGGTGGGAATTGATCCCTGCAAGCATCTGGTGGACATTGTGGAAGGAAAGGAATGCAAGAGGCTTTGAAGACAAAAGCAACAACATTCAAAAAATCAGAATGAATTGCCTTAGTCTTCTATATTTTTGGTGTAAACAGGATATGGTGGGGATATAGAACTTTTTGATGATTTTATAGGGAAATTGTAAAGCTCCATAGACTAGTTCTTATGGCCTTCTGTTTTTACCCTATGGGATGTAAGTGCTCACTCTTATCATTGCTTGGATGATGGAATTTTGTGAATACACAGTTACCTGTTCCTCAAAATAAAGAAGGCATGAGAGGTACCTCCCAGGAAAGATACTTAAATGTGACTAGGGATGCCTATTCTCATCCTAAGTACAAGCATATAAATATCTCACACTTGGTATTTGAACTTCTTAAGTTGATGAATCCATAACATTACATTCATATTATGCAGCTTCTAATTTCAAAAAAACTAAATATTATGCAGCTTCTTCTCACTTCATCAGTTTACTGCTACTGCTCTACCAGATCTTCAAAATAAAATGTTTGCTTGGCCTGAATTATCTTTTGTTGTAACAGGCAAGAACAATATGAAAAATCTGCTGCAGGAAGAGCAGCACGTGCACAAATGGCAGCTGCTGCCAAGCAAGCAACGAATGCGAACCAAGGAGAACCAGTTCTTAAAGTACTTTCCTTCTTTCTAATTACTGATGGTCGCCGTTTTTTCTATTATATACTTAATATTTTTAATTGTATCTACTTCTTGTATTAGTTAAAAACAATACTCAAAGTTTTAGATTCCTCTATCATTGGCCCAAATCCTTTCTTTTGAGATTGATGCTTTACATGTCAAGTTTAAATACTCAAAGATATCTGAAAATAATACTTTGACCTTTGATTCGGTTTCAATTATCTGGATGCAGTGGCAGATGGGATGAGCATTAGCTCTCTTAGGTCAACTTCTTCCATTCATTGTAAGTATCATGACTAACCAAATTTTTAATATTCTTTTTCTCTTATTTCTTACTCCTTCCATTCCTTTTTATGTGGCATTTCATTCCTTTTTAATTTGTTCAAAAAAAAAATGACAACTTTCTATATTTGGAAACAATTTAACTTTAAACTTCTATCTTACTCTCAATGACAAACTTTTACAGCCATAGAGAAGTTTATAGCATGTTTAAGATTACAACTTCCAATAGTCATCATTTCTTTTTTAAACTCCGTGCGCAGTAATACCGACAGATAAAATAAAACCGAGGGAGTGTTTATATATAGTCTTGTGCATTTGACGATTGAAGCATACTTTTGCATGTGTGCACTAAAAGACTTTCGTTATGTCACTTAATGAATCATTATACCTTGGTACATGTACATTAACTTTTAAAAAGTCTACCATTCAGACCTGCTAGTTCAATTTGGGATTATCAATGATGTGGATATTGAATGTAGAATCTTGAGGAGTAAGTAACATCTCAAGTGGAAATGCAATTAAGTATATTTTGACCTGCCAATATTCATGTCTCCTGTTGCTGCTGGTCTTCTGTTATTGTGTGGTCATCCTTCAGATGCCTCACAGTAGTCCATCTTTAAATCAAACCAGTCACAGCCTTCCCAACCTTTTCTTCCAATGGAAGTGTTACTGTTTCCAAGTTTTGGCGAAAACATCTTAGGTATCTCGTCCTCTCTTTTCCACAACAGATGAATGAAGTGTTCGTCTTTGTATGAAAAACTACAGTGCCTTCATTGTATCTTCTTTTAATGCAATTCAAAGTAAGATTCTGTGACTGAAATACAGGGGAGACACCAAGAGTTGTTTAACTTTACTGAACATCTTTCAAGTTGTTTTACGTTTGTTTATGTTCCCACATTTAAAAAAGTGAGTTTTTTCACGGGGTAAGGGTTTGTTGTCAATTAGAATTATTTGCAGTGCTGCAGTACATTCTGGGACTGCTTTTATTACTGCCTATAGATAAATCATGTCTTTATAAATAGTACTTCACTTCATAAACTTTTTAAATCAGCTTTAGTTTCCATACGAGAAAGAACTGACATCTTGGATTCTTCACTTTCGGTGCTGCACTTGTGTTGACACGTCATGGTTGTGGGTGTGGGATCCTTACCCGATCTGGTCAACTAATTTTGGGTACTCTGACCAATATCGACAGAGAAATTCCGGACAGATTCAATGAGTTCTGTAATCAAAGAAAATGGAATTTTTATGTCACTTCTTTTCCATTTATCTCCTCCCAGGATTCTCCTCTTGATCAATATTTTTTCCCCAAGTTTTCCACGTAATATCTCATAATTTTTGTTTTATAATTCTATTTTTAGATATTTGAATTATTTTTAGCCGAATCTCTGCACCCGTATTCATACCTTGATCCATATCCCCGAATCTTAAAATTTAGATCATGAAGTATCCGACCTCTAGATATGCACCCGTGACCTCTAGCATGTAGAGGAAGAGAGCATTTTGTGATTAGTCCTGAAGCTTTAATTTTGTCTTAGTCGTAGTTTTCATTTTAATTTTCTTTTTGTTTTGGCCTTCAGGTACTGAGAGTTGAAGTTTGATATCCAACAGTTGTAAATATGTTGCTCTTATTTAATTTAGTGTTTTCTCCAATCTATATATTTGTAAACTGAAATGAGAATAAGGTGGAACAAATCTGACAATTTGTATTTCCACCAGTTAATTTACTCTTCTCTTGTTTTTGTGTACACAAATGTAATTCAAAGGGTTTCTCAACATTCAATTTACAGAGGAAAGTAAGGCATTCGAATATCATTTTTCGGTGAACGTGTTATGATTTTAGTCTCTACTTGTAAGAGCTTTTGTTCATAATTTTTTTAAATATTTTTTTTGTGAAGTTTGACCATAGATTTTGGAGAAATATTTGAATTCTTAAAGAAATATGATTTATATCCCGTTAAGTTAAAAAAATTATTAAAAATATTTACTATCATTATATAATGAACGTGTTCCGTGAAAAGTTATGATAGCAAACAAAATTAAAATAAATTTGAAGAATAAGGAAGAAAACTATATAAAATATGTGTTTAACTGTATAAATTTTGTACAATGAAACTAGGATTAAAAGTCTATCCAAAACTATAAATGATGGGTGTGTTTACAAGTTTGAGGTAATTTTAAATTTTTAAAAGTTTCTAAATAGTAGAATTTAACTAAATATTACTAATTTTTTCTAGTATTTGAGAATTTGAATTACTTGGTAAAAATACTTATCCAAGTTTTTTCTCAAATATTTTTGGGAATATGGAAACTGTTTTAATTAATGTTTTAGAAAGGAAACATATACGTGGTCAAATCTCTGAAATAAATTTGATCTTTTTAATGATGTGCAATATTAAATATATGAATTAAATTTATTTACAAAGAAGCAAAATAGTAATGAAGAAAAAGTAGAGAATGTCGTGAAGGATAGAGGGAGGTGTTGGAAATTTCCGGAGAAAGAAAGAAAGAGAAAAGGGAGAAAGACTAAGGGTGCGTTTGGTACGAAGGAAAATGCTTTTCTTGAAAAACAAGTAGATTTTTGACTTAATTTCTCATGTTTGGTTGGTGAGCAGAAAATATTTTCCGGAAAAGATTTTTTAGTGTTTGATTTATGAATGAAAAATATTTTTGAGAAAGTATCTTTTATTTTTACTAGAGAGTAGAAAATAATTTTTGAATTGAAGTTGAAAATATTTTTTAAAAATAAACTTAATTTTTTTTGGGGAGGGTGGAGGTGGGGGTGGGGGTGTAGGGGTGAGACGAGGTGCAAAAAATAAAAATTTGAAATTGAAAATATTTTTTAAAAACAAACTTAATTTTTTTTTGAGGGGTGGGGAGTGGGGAGTCGAGGGTAGGGGTGAAAAAATAAAATTTTGAGTTGATAATATATTTTAAAAACAAACTCAATTTTTTTTTGGGGGCCGGGGGGGAGGCTGGCCAGGAGGGGTCGAGGATAGGGGTGAAAAAATAAAAATTTAAAGTTGAAAATATTTTTTAAAAACAAACTTAATTTTTTTTTGAGGGGTGGGGAGTGGGGAGTCGAGGGTAGGGGTGAAAAAATAAAATTTTGAGTTGATAATATATTTTAAAAACAAACTCAATTTTTTTTTGGGGGCCGGGGGGGAGGCTGGCCAGGAGGGGTCGATAATTTTAAAAAATATTTTTTATATATATTTTTAGTAGTGTTTTATTTGTAAAGATTTTATCAATGAATATTTTGAAAAATAAAAAATCAAGTCTTTTGCAAATCTTTTACATTAGCCATGAGCCCACAAATTTTTTTAATTGGCCAAGCCCATTACTTTGTTAGGGTTTTGACTTTTGATTCATTTTATTATAAGTATATAACCATATATATTCTCTTTGTCTTTTAGCTTAGCAACTTTCTCTTTCATTTTAGGCATGACATTAGGGTTTTGAAGTTTTAGAGTTTCCAAGCTCATTCGAAGTTCAATTTCCAGATCGGTATTGAATATTGATACATGAATACAACCATACAAGTAAGAATCTATCATTTTTTCGATTTGTTTCTTCTCCAAAATGAGCTGAACTTCGTCTTAACTCTTAATCATGTTCATCTTTTGTGATAGTTTCATATATAACATCTTTTTCTTAATTATTTTCGTAGTGTATGATATCATGTGTATTAGTTGTGTTTTCCTAATGAGTAATCAGAAAAGTTAGTTTCTCTACATGTTCATTTTGAAGTCTGAAACTAACTTTTGACATATTTAACGCATACAGAGAAATCAATGGAGGATGATGATGAATGTAGTGCACATGAAACTAGTGTAGGGGTGAATGAATCTAAAGAATCTCCACAGAAGAAATTGAGGCAGTTAAAATCATCTGTTTGGAGGTATTTCAAGAAGATTAGTAGAAATAAAAATGAAGTGAAAAAAGCAATATGCAGAGGTTGTAAGGAACCATATAGGGTTGGTTCTACTCCTAGACCTAATGGTAAGAACTATGGAACATCATTTAATTAAACGTAAAAAGGTTAAGTTCTCTAATTTGAGTCAAATGTATATGGATCAGCAAGGTAACATACAGTCGAGAAAGATCGATCAATTGATTTCCCGTGAAAAGCTTGTTGAAGCTATTATTGAGCATGATCTGCCGTATTCTTTTATTGAATATAAAAAAATTAGAGCTTGGGCAGATTATGTATATCCAGAATTGGTAATGCCATCAAGGAACACTTCTATTGTGGATGTCCAGAAAGTGTATTTCAGAGAGAAAGAAAATTAAAACAAGTGTTGGCGAAGATTCCTAATCGAGTTTGCTTAACTTCTGATTGCTGGACAACAGGTACCTTTGAAGGATATCTTTGTTTAACTGCTCAATATATTGATGATAATTAGAAGGTAGTAAGTAAAATTTTGAACTTTTGCCTTATGATTCCTCCTCATACAGGAGTTGAATTGGCTGCAACTATATATGATTGTTTGAAAGAGTGGGGAATCGATAGGAAGGTGTTCTCTATCACTTTAGATAATGCCACTAACAATGATAGCATGCAAACTATTTTAAAAGGTCATCTTGGTTTGCAAAAGAGTTTGTTATGTGATGGTGAGTTCTTTCATGTACGTTGTTCTGCTCATATTCTAAATTTGATTGTCCAAGAAGGTTTAAAAGCAGCTAATGATGCCTTGTTTGGAATTAGAGAAAGTGTGAAATATGTTAAAGGATCAGATGGTAGAATGAGAAAGTTTGATCAATGTGTTAAGCAAGTTGGAATTAGTACAATTTTGGGTTTACGTTTGGATGTGACAACTAGATGGAACTCAACGTACTTGATGCTTGAGAGTGCACTACAATATGAAAAAAGCTTTTTCTAGTCTACAGTTAATGATAGAAATTACTCAAGTTGTCCTACATCTGATCATTGGAGAAGGGCAGAAAAAATATTTGGATTCTTGGTGCCTTTTTATGAAATAACAAACTTAATTTCTAGTTCAAGTTATCCAACTTCCAATTTGTACTTTATGCAAGTTTGGAAAATTGAATGCTTGCTGAAGGAGAATTCAAGTAATTTAGATGAAGTTATTAAGGAAATGGCTGTAAGAATGTTTAATAAGTTTCAGAAATATTGGAATAGATATAGTTTGGTACTCTCATTTGGAGCAATTTTGGATCCTCGCTTCAAGATGCAACTTTTAGAACATTGTGTCTCAAAGGTGAACTCTTTGGCAAAAGCGCAGGCTGCAACTATAAAGTTAAAATTATACAAGCTCTATGAACAATATGCAAATAATCAAATAGGGGCAACTGCTCCTACTACTTGGTCCAAACCAATTGAAGAAGGAAGTCAATCCAAACAAAAGAAGTTTACTTTCTTTGCGGTAAGTATCTAATTTTTTTTATCTCTAAATCATTATGTATCTTTTCTTAAAAACACTTCTATTCTCTACTTTGATGGTTTGTGATTAAAAGCACTTGCACATTTTAGAACTAATTTTGTTTACTTGATGGTTTTTGTAGTTCTATTTAATGTGTAGTTAGATAAAAATGAGTTAGCTTTCACTATTTTATTTGAAGTTAAAATCAGTTATGAGTTACCTTTCACTATTTTATTTGAAGTTAAAATCAGTTTACTTTTT